GTTTAAGTGTTCACTATGTGCGTAACTTGTCTGAATTGAGCTGAGTTGAAGAAGAGTCTTGAGAGAAAGTGAACATTATTCAACAAGATTGAAACGTGCTTTCTTACCTCATTGAACTTCTAATTCCCCCGAAAAGGTGTACTGAACAATCATTGTTCAGGTGTAGCCCTTGGACAACTTTTCGGGCAGTGCATTTTTGTCAAGCAATCATTTACACAAATGAGACTTTATTCAAAAATGTTTGTGAAGTAATTGTTTCAACTATTGTGTTACTCATCTTTCCCTTGTTCTGTACTATTGGTTTTGAAAGCTTTAACAAATTTGGATGAAATCATGGGATTTCTGGTTACTTTTACGAATGTTACAATCTTGAACTGAATTGGAAAGATTTGAGATCAAGTAACAAGCGGTTTTCTTCTCCACAACCCCCCCCCCCCCTTTAAATTTATGCTTGAAAATTTTGATCTTTGAGTGACATTTTCAATACTGCTGATGGTGCGACATTAGTTGAGCCTCAGTTTTGACTGAGTAATCGAGCCTAAACTTGCAGTAAGTAACTTAACAGACAATATGAGAGGGTGCTTCAACTTCACGTCTTGCGTGTTTTCTTATTTGAGAAAAACACAAGACTTGAGTGGATGAGTGGTAAAACTGGATACAACTCTAAAATATTCTTAAAATCAAGGATGTTGAAAGGTAGCATTAATGATGGGCAACAGCGCTACTATTTCAAAATAGCGATGTTATACTCTACTACTGCGAGCCAGTCGGACACTCACAACAGGCGGACAGAGTCGCGTGTTCCTGCGCCGGACTCGACTGGGGGTGGCGTCGTCGCGGCTTGCGAAAGCCGGCTCTGTAGTTACGCGATGCACGGCGGTCGAGGCGGATGCCGTTATTCAGAACTCGGAAGAAGAAGGGAGAAAAAGCAGAAAACAGCATTTTTCCGAAGGAGCGCTTTGAGTTGTGTGTGCGATAGTGACAGTGCAGAATGAGGGGAGGCGTCCCGTGCCATTTTTCGTAGCTGAATTTTCCGTCCCCGCGAAAGACTTTTCCTCGACAGTGCAGTGATGCATCGGTTGATGCATGACCCATTCCTGTGGAAAGTCCATAATCCGAACGGTGTACTGTGGGATCCCGGGATCCGGACAAATTCAAGTTGTGGACATTATCGGAACAAAACAGAGAATAACCTCCCGACGTTCGGGTATTTGTTTAGTGCCAGCTGATACAGCTGATGTAGGTTCTATGGCGGTTTTTACGCTTTTTACCGTAAAGTTTGTGAAGAAAATGCTTCACGACATCCAGACCTAAACAGATAATTAATGATGCCTGTTCTCCGCTGTATCACTGCAATAAGGTATTACTCACACATTCATATGGTTTTCTCTCATTTACCCTTTTTTAATCATTCAATCGCGTTATTGTGCTTTGGAGTGACACTTGTGAAGTGCGGATAGATTTTGGAAGTTGCCCCGTCGTTGTTTTGACCTGCGACTTGATTCGTGTCTGCCGTTGTTTATCCATAAAACGCGTGTCGGTACGCAATGCTTCTCATGAAGGCGATACTAAAAGAATCACGGTGAGTGACCTTGCTTGGTTACACGGTCACAGTCGTAAACGAAGGAAAAAGTGACGCTTGAACGTATTAAAAGGTTAGGTGATGCATTACCTTCTTATAATATACCTCACTTTATTCCTGCAGCAAGAATATGTTGATTTAATCCAGGGATTCTCAAAATTTTTGTCTTTCGTTTTTGTTCGGGATCAATTGAAAATAATGAAAATTAGTATACTGTTCTTAAATTCAAAGTAGTAAAGCCTGAATTGGCCAGAAACTCTTTGAAACGTCTGAATAACTTCCGATTGTTACTTCCGAATCATCAACCAAAATACGATTTTTTTCCGACTCGAGAGTTTGATTGAAGTCTGTGCAAAACAGACCACCTGCTGAGATGACGAACGCTATTTTGCGAAAATATTTTTGGCATCATTTTTTTTTTCATTTATTTGCGTTCATGAAGTAGCTGGAAAGAAGTTTCTAGTAAATACTTCCCGGTGTATTCTACAGACAAGGATTAGGGATTAGGATTAGAGTTCGCTTGAACTGCGATTTTGTCGAAGTTGCCTCATGAATCAATGGAGATACTGTACTGTGCTTCCCAAAACTTTGCTTGTTGTTACAGACGCTTTCTCTTTCAAATCTGTGTCAAACTTTGAAAATCATTGCTAAGTGGAACCCAAACTGCATGCTTCGATGATGCATCTCGAAGAGAACGACGAATAGATGAAGCAAGCGTCTACCCCTTTGCCGATTGTTTTTTATAAATTATATCCCTGTCTTGAAACAATGTGGGCTAAATCATTGGCATTTTCCGAATTTTTTTGATTTCAGCGTCGCCCCTGAAAAAATGCCCAAAATTAGAATACGGTGATCTTAAATTTAACGTGGCTGTAATATCTGATTGGCAGGTTTATATTCTTAAAAGGGTTTTCATATATTTTAATGGAATTTTGACGGCCTGAAAATAATTACAAGTACGACAAATGAATGTAGTTTTTCCGGAAAGACGCATTTCACTTTCTCCCCGGACTCCCTGCATCATTTCTTTCCACAAACCGAATTAAAAAAAATCCCGAATGGTCAGTGGAAAATTTTTTTTAGTTCTAGAATATGTACAGTAGATCTGAAAATTTTCTCCACTCGCTCGGAGAAATGCATGTTACCACTGATATATATTTTTTTGCATTCTGCCACGCGTAATTCAGGCCAATATTGCACCTAGACGCGTAGGTGTTCAACCCCCAAATGAAATTAGTTTCCGCGAAGTCATCCACGACATCATGTTATCTACTCAAACTATGTACGATCCTTTGACCCAGTGAACAAAAATTTTCCCTTCTCACAGAGTTGCATCGAGTGTATGACTGGGTGATACCTTATCAGTGTGCTCATTTGTGTTCGGGATTTCGTATGATAATGTGAAGAAGAAAAAAAAGTGCTCTTTGGTGGAAAACGTCGGAAGTGACTTTGCGGTTGTGAACGAAATCGAGGCACCGTTTTAGTTGGCGTACTTCAGGTTTCGTGGAAATTATTCCGGAAGTCGTCTCGGCATGAAGGTGTTGAGAAATCGGCGTGATTTGTACCCCGCGCGGATTTTTTCATTAATGCCAACTTCGATATCGTTGTCGGATTAAGCTGTAAAATTTTCTCAAGGAAAAATCCGCTTATCTTTTCAGTCGTCGGGAGTCCAAAAGAAAGTCCCAGGCTTCTGATAAAACGCACTCAACGCCGTTAAGTTGCTTCTTACACCATGGAAATGTAGAGGCAAAGTTTCTGTAAATTCCATGGCTATTAAAATTAACAATAACCACTGATTCGGAATGATTCTCGCCTTATTCTGCCTTTTTGCCGACGTATCGACCTTTTGAGAGACATTGCATTTTTTTTTGTGCAAGAATGTGAAAATAGATAAAATAATAAATAGATGGATGTGGGTGGGGAGGTGGCTCAGATGTGGGAGTATTATTTGAACCTTGTGAACGCAGAAAACAAAGCTTGTCTATCTATCAATCAATGAATAAAATTTGCCCGGAAAAAAAGCGGAACGCTCTAATCCAAGCCGACTATTCCTATAAATCCGCCGCCTTCGTGACGTATATCCTGTGCGAGACAAGCCGGAGAAATGATGGGAATTGTAGCAGCAAGTCTGTCATTAGGTAGTTAAGGTAAACTACTTCGTCAGAGTTGATTGCCGTCGTCATCGTCGCAGTGTCTGAGTCGCGAATGCTTCATACAAAAAAAGAAAGAAAGAAATAGAAATGATCCTCACGTGTCGAGGACCTGCGTAGATCGCATTAAGATCGCATTACCCCTCGAGATTGCAGTACTAGAACGGTACACAAATGACCAGATTGCCAAGCTCGTAGGACTGTTTGTCGACGTGCCGAAGAATGGGATATGAGCGATGAACTGGTCTTTGACAGTGAGTGCCTTTAATTATTTACGGGGCATAAAATCGTCGAACGAAAAGTCACGGAGGAAGCGAGGAAGGAAAAAAAAACCTGAGTTAGTTATCCGATGACCGAAAAGTTCACGAATTATTTGAAAAACCCGCTTCTATTTTATTCATGGAAATCTTCATCTGCTGTATTTTCATGTGACTTACCCTTATTTATGCCTACGCACAATTTATCTCGATTAGATTGTAGAAAGTAAGGAGTGATCTAGATTTTATAATAACCGATCCGTTAGTTCATGAACGTCACTTCGTGGTCATGCCGAAGTTAAAATTTTTCTCTCTCGTCATTTGTGTCAGTTTTGAACTCCTATTAGTAACTTCTCGGTGCATTGATCTCACGGAACTCGAGTTCAGTTTACGTGAAGTTCTGTGCAGAAGAAAACTCCTCAGAACTTGAGTGAAAAATCGTTGGAATCTATTTATTGCGTAGCAAACTGTGAGCCGAGTTCATGCAAGCTGATTCTCCGAAGTCCTTAGGAAAGTGTCCCATTAGCAACGACGTGCCACTCAAAACCACGCATTGCGTGAGTCGGTCCAAAAATTTCGAAAAAAATGAAGCAACGCCCAGAATTAGCAAATGCGGTGCTGTTCCTCGTGAATTCGCGTTTGGAATTTTCATAGAAAACTCGCGTAGCGAATTTTTCAAGCATTTTAAAATTCAGTTTGAATAGTGTAAGAGTTCTGAATTCCTCAATACTGTAATTGTTTGGCAGGTGTGAGAATCACCGCCTTTCTTCCTTGGATATTAGCTTTAATGGAACGAGCCCTTGACCTATTCTAGATACCGCCTTGAGTGCTCGTGAACGCCGTAGACCAAGACTGACCCTGATAGCTTGCCTGAAATGTGAGGAAATTGCACGTTTTCTTCTGATTGCTGCAAAGACGCAGTGTCTGTCGAATAAAATGCATCTTTCATTCGATCTTCCCACTTACTAGAATTTGTTGGTCCCGAATCTGGCTCAAAAGTTCAGCGAAAAGATGTTTTCCACTTACACGAAATTCGACACGCATTTAAGTTATTCCCTGGGTTTCATATTAATTTTACTCGTATTTAAGCTTGAACGTACCTTTAATATAAGTGTAAGCACATTTTACGAAAGAAAGAATTTGTATCCCATCTCATTTTCGAATCAACCCTGGTACTGTATTAATATACAAAACCATAATAAGGGTTATTACAGAAAACACTGGTTTTGTATTTTGGTCGAATATCATTTCCTTTTCAGTTATTGTTGGAAACCATCCCTTTTCTGCATTGGATCGCCAATTTAATGTCGATTCTTCTGCCAATGCTTATCTGCGGTGCTGGATTACATCATTTTGTGGAAGTACTGTCTTGTGCGACCGATTGGATGACATTACATTTTGAATTAAAACGTTTTACAATATAATTTGGTCATTTGTTGTAATTACACCCAAGGAAGCTTTTTTCAGCTATCAAAGTTATATGAATACCGGTATGTCAACTTTTGAGTTGAAAGTTCACGCATCAAAATGTGAAATGGTGGAATTACGTTGTATAATTCTGCAGATTTCCACAAAAAATGTAGCGTCGTTTCCCGCATGTATCTCGCTGGTAAACGGATTTTTTTCCTATGCTTCAGTAACATGATGCAGGTGAAACCACTGAGTAAAAAAAAAGAAAATAAGGAAACTTGCAAATCGAACTCTTTCTCGAAGACCACAGCATGCGAGTCATGAAACGAACGTAGTCGTCAATACGCTTTTTTTTTTCTTATGGTAAGGAAATATACCCAGCTACACTTAGCAAAAGTTTACAGACGGTACTTATTAAGAGCCTGAGCAAGTGCCAGCAGTTGGAACAGCTGCATCCTGCGTGAAAGTCGGCACGTGTCGACGTAGTGAGAAGACGGGGAACACAACAGAGAAACGGATTCTCTTTGTCGTTTTCCATTTGAATATTAAAAAATAATTTTCCTTTTTATTTTTTCAACAGGGATTCCAGTGCTTCTTGAAGTGTGTGTGTGTTGTTTTTTAAATATCCGTCGAGGCGATGATCGAAGAATCCCCGGTGATTTGCGATCCGTGGCAGTGTGACGTGACGAGTGCCGGTTGTAATGACGGGAAGTTCGACGACGATTTCCGCTTCGTCCCGTTGCCTGATAAGACCGAATACTTGGCAAAATTAGGTGAGCAGTATTTTTATAATTATTTTTGCGAAGGTTCTCGAACTTGGGAACTTCATTATTCAAGAAACTTTCAGTGTGAATAAATGCACTGCTCGATTTTGTTTTTGTGAAGCCGAACGAAATAATTTTCAGTGCACAAGAAGAGACCTCTTAAAGTATGCCTCTATTTGATTGTCTAAAAAAAAGAGCTTCTTAATGGTTGAAACAACGCCTTTAAGGTATTCAGGATGTGGTCTATGGAGTTTTTTTTTTCTGTTGTTCTGAATGCCTCATTTTCCGGTATTTATATACAGTAGAGTGTATCAACGCCTTTCGCAAGAAAACTCATTTCTATTTCGAGCTTGATGAATACCACCTGCTTTGAAGTATATTCTGATGGCTTTTGTGATGATATCCTGGAACGAAAACGTGACCGAGGTGAAGCTTTCTTGGGGTTGAGTTACTTTTCGTTCAGCTGCGAATTCCTTCCAAAGGATGGTTTAAAAATTTCATCATTACCTTGAATTGGATGTCAAAGTTTCTGAGTCAGAATAAGATACAAAACATCACTTGAAGAAATATTCTGTTCGTCGACGAACATTTTCCATGAATTTCATTCCTGGCTTCTTGCGAATCATTTGGTATTCTTGGAAAATTATCTCATTCAGCAGCTGTTGCCTTAAAATTGCTTGGTCAGAACGATGTTTTCTATGGGACATGACTGACAAAAGTCAATGTGTCGTCACGAAGAACAAAATTTGATGCCTGCGAATTCCCGAGTGTCGCAGGTAAAACTAGTTTCGCACATGATATAAGTTCACTATTGAATCATGCATATTCTTCGGCACAACTGGGGCGACCAAGAATTGTAACAGTGGCCCGGTGATGATCGAGGATTCCATCCAACTGACCAGGAAAGCAAAATATGGAGAGAACTTATGAATTAACCCTCATTTTTATTGATCGTTGGGCGAGACGAGAGCTCGCAAAGAAGAAAGGATCATTCGTTCGAATCGATCAGCATTTTGCCCTTCCGGTTCCCGGTCGAATCGTAAATTCAACCCATGACGTACAGTACTTGTGTTTTACAGTACAAGTAGATCGGTGAGCCCTGCAACGAAAATCCTTTCGAAAAATGAAGGAAGAAGGGAAATGAAGCCGTTCGGGATTTCTATCGCCTTCCTAGTACCGTTTCGCCAGTCCCTAGTGGCGATTTATTCAACCGAGACGTTGAATAAATATTCCACTCCCGTACTGAAGAAAATAGCTGGAAGAGGGGATGAGCTATCTGATTTTGGCACTTCAGGGGAATCTGTTTCTTCGAATTCTGCAGAGGATTGGTTTTTGGATGGAAGAATCGGGCGTCGATTTTGTGCGTCCTAAGGCAGGGATTGTAGAAATGAATTTCATCCCGTCAAAGCCGGCTGAAAACCTGATAAGTCTTGATAATCTGCGTTAAAACGGCTTCAATTCTTTTCGAGAACCACGCAAGACGGTGCGGTACGATGGATTTCTTGAATTTATTTGTGAAAATCGGCATTCAGTCTTTTTTGAACGAATCAGAAAAATTAAAAATTAAAATATTCTTGAGTTGATGCGTTATTTTCACTTGTGTGTTCTGGGAATTCTGTCGATATTTTCAACGAGAAAATGTTTGATTAGGTTGCGGCCAGAATTTTTACGCTCTGGACTTCATAGCATCATTAACTTGCATTAAATTGGGTATATGCGACATTTCGTCGAAAATGAAATTGACCGAATAGTTTCGTGAAAGGTTTTGTCTTGCTTCTTTGAAATTTAAAAACGAACGCAATGAAGGAAGATCCCCATTTTTTAAAATGACCATGCAATAAAAATGAACGAAGCCCTTCAAGGCAGAAAATTGTGTTCAATTTTCAAATTAATTGATATTTTAAAATTTTTAGCCTCCGTATGCATATTTCCGGGGCATAGTTTTCGGAATGCTGCACTTTTGTGCTGTTTTTACCCTTTTCTGTTCTTCGGCAATTTTCGTGAAAATTTCCCTAGTTATTTGATTAAGAACCATTCATTGATGATTTTCGAATCTAAATGAAGCTTTTGAAGTTCTTGCATTTATAGTTCGGAAATTCGTTCCACATTTTTGTCCTTTGAGTCTTTTCTAGTTTGTTTCTTGTTGACCCTTTTAGTCGAGACAGATACAGTATTCTTACATGAGGGAAGTACCGTACGTTCTCCGACGTGAGGTTTTGAGGCTTTATTTTTCGAAACCACTTTCTTCTAGCGCTGAAAAAATCTTCCGATAACTGACGGGTGATTTATATTTTTCAAAAATCAGATTTTTCTGATGGATGCATATCTTTTTTTTTCTTATTCAGAAACCAAGCTGGCGAAAATGCGAGCGGATTCGAGTGGAAGTCAGCAGAAGCGCCGCCGGGCTCTTTTGGACGCTCTTTCGGCGTCCCGTTCGGACCACGTGACGAGGTTCCTCGAAGACGACGAATTCCGGGTGTCGGGTTCATGTGACAGTATCGACGCGGACTCGACGGCGTCGCGACTGCTGCGGATCGTGGCGCCGGAACGGCTGGCACTCACGACCGAGGAACTCGTGGCACTACTGAAAGCTGACGAGTTGGACGCCGTTACATCGTCGTCGTCTTGTGTGACAGCTTCGGAAGATGACGTGACCTCGACTGGTGATGATCATGGTGGTGGTGGTGGTGCTGGTGTCGGTGATGGTGTCGTCGATGGCACCAGTGGTGCGGAAACGAGCCAATGAGCCGTAGGGCAGTTTCTACTCGTGTGCTGCGCGTGTCATTCCGCCGGGGAATATTATGACTGGATGTGATATTCGTGTGTTTGCAGGCAGTCGGTGTGTCTGTGTTTTTTCTTTTCTTCTGTGTGTGTGTATGTCAAGCTCACTTCAAGTGACGTGAGGGATGATCCGATGGACGTAGGATCTGGTATTTATGCGCCTGTTTGTCGAGATCTTCGAATTACTGCACTTCCCTACGCTGGAAGCTGAGATTGAGTGTGTCCGAGGATGAAGCTTATGAACGGATCAGTTTAATGATGGACGCACGGAATCATGCGAAGGTCTTGCCGTTGTTGAAAGGAGACATGGACGCAGAAAATATGTGTGTGTAAACCAAAGCCATCACGTTCGAAGATCCAATGCAGTACTCAAGCATTTTTATTTCGTTTGCTAATTCTGATGCCGGTTGTGGGTTTAAGTAAAAAAAAAAATCAGTCGACATCAGCGTCATTTTAAGATCAGCCTGGTAAACTGTGAAAGACAATGCAACCGGAAAGGTACGAGTGAAAATTCGGCTAAACAAAATTGAAATTTCCTACCTTTTTCAAGCGTGTAGCGAAATGAATTTCCATTTCATAAAATGAAAGCATTCACGATCGGAGACGTTTTTCAAAAGCAACCCGTGATTCGGTGTCACGTTTGAATTTTTTAATAGGGTGAATGAAACTGCGGTATATTCTGTTTTCTCTATCGATGGCAAGATTCAAGCTCGTCAAACAGGTTTTCCATGCATGATCTTTTTTTTCAACAGAGTGTTTATGATTTTTCTCCGGAGGTACTGAAGAAAATTTTCTGAGCTTTCCGCGAACTTTGGGAAAGGATAATTGATGTGCATCGAAAGTGTTTCGTTTGTCGGGATTGCCCGATCGAGTGTTACGTGATGCTTTCAAGAAGATGTGGTATTGCAGTGAATGACGCTGAGTTTTCTCAGGCCTTCGCCGAAGTTTTGAGTGCTTCGGTATCATGAACTTTTTCTGAATCCAGGCCAAGAGCTTTAGAGCCAACAGGAGAAAACCACCCAGATGAGATGCATTTGAAAGAGAAGCATTTAGAAGTAGACCAGCCGGAAGAAAAATATCAATCAATAATTTTAATGTACAAATTAATGCATGTCTCCGGAAATTAACGCAATCCTGTGTTTCCAAGTACTGTACTGTATAATATTGAAAGCACTGTAGTTGGAAGCAACCATTATCCCGTCAGTAATTTTCAGTAAATCATGAGGACTCAATCATCTATTAGGTACGAGAAGTTCATTCCCTCTGCAGTACTTTTTCCACGGTTGGACTGTCGTTTAGCCGGCGGAGAAAAAAAATAATTATCCGCGGAACAATAAGTGCTTTTTTCCCATATCTCAGCTTTAACTAATTCAACTGAATGTTTTTTCTGAAAATAAAATCTACTCAATGTTTCATGTACGTTGGAAAAGGTTTTTTTTCATACTCTTCTCCCAGCACATCGTTCAACAGAAGACGAAATGGAAATAATTGAGAACTGACCGAAAATTTTTCTTTGAAGAATAGTTTTTCTTTTAAAACCCTTTAAAACCCTCAATTCATTAAATTTAAACGTTTTTTTAATTTAATGAATCGAGTCAAAATTGTACGAAAAAATATTAGAAATGTTGTCATACATTGTAAACGGAGGTAATTATTTAAAATATTTGTTTTCGCTGTCATGTGGAGACTTCCGTATACAGGGCATCCCTAATATTTTCCTGCTTCCAGAAACACGCAGTACCGGAGAAAACGAAATTAATTTATGAGAAGGAATAGGCTCATTTAGGCGATGGTTAATCAAGAATGCTTTTCGCCTTGTTGCATTTCATGTGAGCGGTTTCATCCGTGTTGCTTCTTATATGGTTACTTTTCTCTTGATTGCTTTTCATCTTTTGCGTTTTCCACGCCGGAATGTTATTCTGACTGGTGCGTTCGAACTAACCGAAGACTGACTGGTTTTTAACTTTCCCAGGTGTTCTGTCTGTAAAGAGCGGGACTGAAAGGAAGTTCAGAGTTGTTTGGAGTGCGTGACCGCGTTTCGATTTTTATTTCTACAAAATTTTTGCTACGAGTGGAAATTGTCGGCGGTTCGGAAGCAACGCGTAAAAAAAGAAGAAGAAGAAGAAGACCACGACGAGAAGACATATATATAGATAACGTGGGAAATAAAACGAGAAGAAAATTGAAAACTGGGAGTTGTCGGGCTCGCATCGGGATTGAGTGTTCGGCGGAACCCTGTTCCCACGCGATGTGCTGAGTGCGGCGGCGGCGGAACCGAACGTGGCGCCGCCGATGGAGATCAAGCAAGAGGCGCCGATGGAAACTGGCGACCTCACGATGGTGGACGGCATGTCCACGCTCGCGTTGAACCTGTCGCCTCACGGCGACGGTCTCGTCGACACTTTCCGCAAGCTCGACTCGTCACGACCGGCGTCGGCAGCCGGTTTCGACGCTCCGCCGGGCGCCAAGCGGTTCCGAACCGTTGCGCCCGACTGGCACACACAGGCGACCCATGCGTCGAATGGCGGTGGTGCCCACGGCGGCGTGGCGCCGCACTCGCCGGCCAACGGCGTCGTTAACGGTGGCGGCGCTGGGTCTGGGTATTCCAGTGGCGGACCCGTCACGCCGTCCAACGGATTCCCCTCTCCGATGACCGTCTCCAGCTACGACCCCTACAGTCCATCTGGCAAACTCTGTGAGTCCAAGTTTATTTAAAAAAAAATTTTTTAAGCACTACTTCAGTAAAATTCGCATCATTCGGGCCACTTTATTGGCCGTGTCTCGACCTATGCGGATGGTAAAAAAGAAACATTTAAATTAACCGCGGATGATGGAATGTAGCAGAATTTCTCAAATCTGTTGAACGAAGTATCCTTTTTTGCGATAAATTTCTCTCACGGCGCCACCGATGAAATTAAATCTCGAAAGGTCTTATGTTATCCCTCTTGTGTGTTGCTGCTAATTAGCTTATTACCGTACTCATCCTTAACTCATGCAATTACATGCTTGGGGCTTTTTCGACCAGAAAATGCAAGAATAAGGAAAAAATGAATGAATGAATAATTAAAGAAATGTGTGCGTCGGTCGGTGTATGACTTCCCTTTTTAAATTCAATTTTCACGTATCAAAAATTTTCCGAATAATTTCGGAGAGTGGAAAGTTGAGGAACGTGTTTCCCCTTGATTCTTTTGAAAGAGTCCCCGAGTTGCCGTGTAAATTTTCTCTTCCAAAAGTTGGATAAAAAGCTTTTTAAAAAGGTAATCCCTTCAGTAGTGGAAACTCTTCCAGCACCGGGGGAAAAAGAAGGATTAGAAAATTGTGCGAGGTTTTGCTGTCTCTTTGGTTGGCGAATGCTGAGATGACGCAATCGCAGTCTTTGATTACATACTTGTATTTGTCAAAGTGGCCGATAAATGGATGAAATGAAATGAATGAATGAATATCAATGCGTCTACAATTTGCTCATGATGATGGCGTCTAAACAGCTTTTTGCTTCGTCAACGAATTAAGGTTGACTCAACTGGTCATGAGTGATCTCCAAATTCTGCAATTATTTCAAGTCATTGACTAATTGTAGTAAGGGAATTTCGAGTGTGCGGAAGCAGATGCGAAGTCACATGCTGACTCGATCCGTCAATATGTCTACTGCATGCGTTGCATTTCTCATCTGCCCCGGATTACATTAAGCAGCCTTGGGTTATCTCGCAACACATTGGATATTGTCGGGGAAAAACGGATCATTTGTCCCCCGAAATTATGAAATTATTCAAAAATTTTAAACGCTACCAGAATCGACTAGTTTTTTATAATTTAAATTTAAATTTCGCAGAATTAGTTTATGTCGATAGTTCTGGGTCAACTGACTGTTGGTGGTACGAGATATTTAAAGATGGTTAAAAAAAAATATATATATATACATATATATATATATATGAATTACTGTACTGTATATTAAAGTTTTGTTCAGTAATTGTGATTGACAATTTCCGAGATCGGGAAGCAATATTTTTATGAAGAAGAAAACTATTCTGCTTTACGCAAATTTTATGGCAATGGTTGCGATTTTTTTATTGATCCTCATGAAAATGAATATGATTATTTCAAGCAATAATCGATGGGAAGTTTTTCGCTGCTTGAAATCCGTTCCGTTCTCCTCAAACTGAAACTTATTTTTCCCGAGTTTTTTTATTATTATTATGGGGAAGCGATCTCTCGGTCAACTTTGCAGTTACCCTGACCTTTGGCTATTGGGCGTCGACGTCAGGAAAGTTTCCCCTTATTCATTGCCGGTTTATTTTTCCTCCTAACAATGGCACTTTTTGCTTACTTTAGGGATTTCGTAGACATGAACTTTTGCGATCTTTAGTGGATGGCAGTTGAGCCTCATCTTGTGTCGATATCTCTAAGGCCCGGGCTCAGTAGCACTTGATTTGTTAGAAGTTTTTAATGCGGATACAATTTTTATTCTTCTTAATTTATCCCCTTGAGTGAAACTGCCAATCGATCCGTTTCTAAAAAAATGCGACTTCATCGTCCTTTCATTCCTTTCGCCTAACTGGGGCGCCTGTCAAGCAGCGAAAGAAAACTGCTCGACGCACTCGGGAAGGTTTTATTTTTGCGGGGGCGAAGACTTGGAACTAATCTTTCTGTCATCGCCGAGTAGTACCGCTGAAATTCGCCATTCCCAGGAGGAAACGCGAATTGCTTTTCCCCCTGCTCTTGGATTGAATAAAGGCAAGCTCGTCGGCTCGTCATTTGACGCACCGGTGTGATTGATGGGGGAAAAAAATGTCATTTCTTCATCGAGGAGACATTGTCTGACTACTTATCCTGAAGTGTTTCCCGACGTTGATTTGTCATCATGTCATGGTAGAATAACGGAGGATATGAACCGTTTTCGAGTAGGCGTTTCCCTTCATGCTCGAGCCGGGGGGTGATGACTTGAATTGTCGGATTATCCGACATTCATTCGATTCAGGATGAGATTAAAAATATCCTTCCGACGGATTACCGGGGAGATGATTGAAACGTCTCTACGGCGATTACCTATCCTCGTCTCTTGATCAAAATGAAAACGTAGTCGCTGGATTTTAAGCTAAAAATAATGCCGAATTGAGATAGTGGAAGACGGGGTTTGATGCAAAGGTTTGCCTTTTGTATTTAAAAGAATGTCGATTAGAAATTATCTCTTAAGAATACTGTAGGATGGTTGGTTCTTGAGATTTGTCAATCTTGTGCTTTTTGTTTGAGTCTAATATATGGCTTTGAAAGAAAGTTTTGTAGGAATTTCACCCTTTTCCGGCACATTTGAAAATTTTGCGTTCCTTAGGTTTTTATGAAGAGAAGACAGAGTTCGAACTGTGCCCCATCTATGAATATTTTAGTATTTTTCCGACAGTCCAACTGCCACCAAATTTTAAAAATACTGCTCTGTGAAGAAATTGTAAGTGAAAATACCCAAGATCGGAAAACTATGTTCTATTGACCAAAAAAATCTGCTCCGTACAGTTTTTCATGGTAGTGGTTGCTGAAAAGGGGTTTCCCCAATTTCTGAAATTATGACTGCAATTTAAAAAATATGTATTGTGCAAAAATTATCAAAAGCTCTTGGTATACTGTATGGTATTGATATCGCGAAAGTTTGGAGGCTTCCGACTGAAGAATGAGAAAAATTTTAATCATAAGGTAATTAATTTTAAGGTAGTGACAAAGCTTCTGAGCGGTCCTCTTCAACAAATGATTTTTTGGAATTAGGGCAGTGTCAGTGTTTTTTCACTTGTTTTATTTCAAAATTATTGTACCCCCT